GAAGCTCTCGAAAAGATGGCCTGGCACCATATACAGTTCTGCCTGGCAGAGAGGATTAGAGAAGATATATGAAAGAATTTGTACCATGAAATAACCTGGACTTTTCCAGCCCAGCATTGTAATCAGTAGAGATTACAAAAGAGCAACCACACCAGAGGATTACCATGAGGTAGACTTTGAAGGAAGAAAAAGAGACTAATTTTTGCTAGTCCCAGCCTGGCAGCTTGTTTTCTCACTTTCTCTTCTGTCTCTCTCCCTGTCTCTGGTGAATTAAAATAATAATAATAATAATTAATAAAATTAAATAAATAATTCTAAAAAATTTTTTTAAATAAAGATAGTTAACTCCAAGTGATTGAAAGCCACCAGTGGATTGTGTTTAAAAGTTCTGATGAATCTCTGTTCCAAATGCACAAGAGAAAGATTGACATTGATTTAGTCCTTTAAATTAAAGCAAATCTGTTAGAAGAAAACTAAAAAAGGCCCAAGTCTGCTGCATGTTACAGGCTAGACCTTGCCTGGCTCTTGGTAGCAAAGGCACAGGATGCTGGCTAGAGCTGGAGCAGGCAGCAGCAGGCATTCCATCACTGGCTGTTCTCCTGCTGTTCCCCTCCACAGCCTGCACAGAGAAGCCTGCACTTCATCTGCTCCTCTGCTCCTTAGCAGTCCCCTTAGCAGTCTCAGCCCATTTCTGGTCATGGCACAGGGAGCCCATGTTTCCCCAGAGTCTGAAACCTCCCAGGAAATGAAGAGCCTGACCATGACCCAGAGGAGCTTGGCAGGGTACAGTCCTGGGTCAGGCTCCAGTTTCTGGGAAATGCCTAGACTCATGGGCATATGGATTTCTCAGTATAAAACCCGCACTTCCCCCCTCTGACTCCAGGAAGCAAAGAAGCTGAGTGTGGGAGCAGCTTGTAGTGAGGACTGGGAAGTAGGAGTGCCACGTGGCCTCTCAGTGGACTTGTTGGCATCCTCTTTCCAGCCTGTTATCCTCCAAAGAGGACCCGGTGGAAGTGAGTGAGGCCTGGTTCCTGCCTCACAGAAACCATGACCAAAGTAGAAACCTTTCCCAGACTGATCACTGAAGGCCTATTATGTGCCAGACACTTTGCAGGGCTCCAGGCTAGTGGGAGAGAGGAAAGGTATACTCTGGATCCCATTTGGACATGCTAAGTGCCCTCAAGGTTCTAAGATGGCCCAGAGGAGGGAGTTTCTAACTGCCTAGGCAAGCCAAGAGATGCTTTACAAAGAAGCAGGGTTTTGGAGGGAAAATAAGCAATTTGCCAGATAGAAAAGATGATAGTCTACATAGGAGAAGTGACAGAACAAAGGGATGGATGCTCAGAGCCACTTCTTCTCCCTCTCGTCCTTCTGTCTTTATGAGGGATAAAAGGGGGAAGAAAGAGAGCCAGAGATGGGTATTTTTGACAAGGTCTCATGTCATGATTCTCTTGCCCCAGTCTCCCAATTACTTAGGATTATAGGCACATGCACCATGTCTGGCATGACCAGATTGGCTTGGGAATCTAATCCAAGCCTCCCATGTGGCTTCCAGCCTCCCAAAGTGGTCGTGGTACCTATGTGCCACAACCACCTATATGCCACCACAGTTGAGCCCAAACCTTTATTAAATTGAATTGTAATTACAGCAAGATTTTGAATAAGTCACTCCCTAAGGCCACTTTCCCCCCGACTGGACTCTCCCAGTACTGACATGCTCCTTCTGGAAACTTACAAGGGATTTTGTTTGTTTTTAAGCTTAAATCACAGCACTAGTCCAAGAGCCTGAATTACTCTTTGAAAACAGTAAGACAGGAAAGGGTACAGGCAGGAGATATCCACCTTGGCTTCCAGTGTGAGCAAAACACATAAAAATACTTCAAGACTGAGTCATGTTACTGAAATGGCTTGAGCATGTCAGTCTCAGAGGTAGCAAATTGCAGCCAAGAAGTCTCAATGCTCACTTTTAATGTGTTGGCATCATACATATCCATCCTTCTGGGATTGGAAATCCAGTTACCAGAGCTGCCCAGAGATGAGACCTGTGGGCCTGCAGAAAAAACCCACCGAGCTCACTCTGCACAGAGGAAACTTGATTAAGTGAGCTACTGAGAACATACACATGCCTTTAGAAAGCCTCTTTAAACCATACGGATTAATCAATAGCAGTATGGGGGCATTTCCAGGAACTCTCCTGACGGTGAGCAAGTACAAACTCATCCAGAACTGGGTCTCCCTGCTATTTGGCAACAAGCAGGGTCCCCCACCTGCAGACTGCCTCTACCTTGTGCAGGGGCTGCCCTCTGGCCAGACGCAACTAACCACCCCTGTCTGTTGCTTTCCCAGCCATCTGGAAAGGAATTGAGAACCTTGTGTACTGCTGGTGGGCATGTAAACTAGGGCAGCCGCTGAGGGAAACAGGTCATACTTCTTTAAGAAGTTAAAGCTAGGTTAGCATATGACCCAGCAGTCCCTCATGTGGGTGTGTACCCAAAAGAACTGGAAGCAGGAACTAGCAGATATGTGTACACCTCTGGTCACAGCAGCACCCTTAGCAATAGCCCAGAGGTGGAGGCAGCGTGGTGGTTCACTGGCAGAGGCAGAGGGAGACAGGTGTGGCGTACACAGACAGGGCTAGTATGCCTCCTACACACGTCAGAAGATACTGTGCCACTCCACACGTGTGAAACTTGAAAATGCAATGCTAAGGGAAACAAACCAGACACAAAAGGACGAATGCTGTATGATTCCACTTACGGGAGTGACTTAGCATAGTCAAAGCCCTAGAGACAGGTAACAGAACGGGTTGTCAGGGTCTGGGGGAGGGGCGAGAAAGTACAGAGCTTAGGTTTGGGAAGACAGAAAGGTTCTTGGGGTGGATAGTGGCAATAAAAGCACAGCAATGGGAATATATTCAATGTCACTAAACTGTTCACTCAAAAATGGTGGCAGCAGCCAATTGTAGATGATATGGTTTACCATAATTAAAAAATGAAAAATAAACAAATAATGAAAGAAAAATGCACAGACCCCTTGGCAAGAGTTACTTATAAAATATTCAAACAATATAGATAAAGCAACAGTTCTTTTTTTTTTTTTAAGAGATTTTTTTTTTTGGCTTTAGTGCACATGTGCCGACAGAGGGAACCTTGTCTATTGTTGCTGGGTGTGTAAACTAGGTGAGAACTCAAATTCCAGTGACAGAGAAGGTGAGAAATCGCCCAGGGGAGGATGGTCACAAGAAATCCCTTTTCCTCCTTTCTCCTCCCAGGACCTTGGGTATGCACGCACATGTGCCTGGTGTGAGTTTCAAGACACTGGGTCCAGGACTCGAACCCCTATCGGCCATGAAGGAACCCAGTGACATGCCACTACACCATCTGCTGGCCCCAAGCACTCCATGATTACTCCTTGATTACTCCATGCACTCACCACAACCCTTGCTTTCAGTCTAAGGTGGATCCTCATGCTTAATTAAATTACCCTCTGCCACTTTATTCTCATATTTATTTCTGATCTTATCATTGGGCTTTTGTTTTTTAAAGTTATGTCATAGGGCATGTGTGCTCACCAGAGAAAAAGAGAGACAGAGGGGAAGTCAGAAATCACCCCCAAGGGTGATTTTGGCACACACACACACACACACACACACACATGTGCCTGGCATGATTTTCAAGCAGCCTGGTCCCAGGCTCAAACCACAGTCAGCCATGTGGGAGTCCAGCACCTTAACCACCATGCTACCTGCTGGCCCCTCATTGGACTTTCTTATCATTTCTTTCTCTCCTTGATTTACAAGACTTAGTTTAAACCCCTTTTCTTTTTGCCTGCTGATTCTGGAAGGATCTCCTTTTTCTTTACTTCCTCACATTGCAAAATCACACAGGAACTTGGAAAGAGCTTGGCGTGGCTCCCGAGTAGCACCTAACTGTCCACACCCTCATCCTGCCCTTCATGACACCCTTTCTTAGCTCTGAGTGGATCATGGTCCTACTCAACTAGGAGCTTCCTGCACGGTTCCCAGCACCTGGCACAGTCCTGAGCATACAGCAGGTGCTGGAAACAGATTTTTTTAAAAGTAAAACAATCAAACCAAAAAACTTATTGCTTGATTACTTTCCCAGTAAATCTCCGAGTTCTGCCAGCCACTTAGAGGCTCTTGGCAGAGAAGCAAAAAACCAAATGTCTGCCTTAGTTCTCTTACACCTGGCAGCACACGTGTGTGTGTTTCATTTCATTTAAATATCTGGAAAATCTGTGAGCTGGCACCTCCATCCTGTCTGCCGACTGCACTGTGATCCCTTTCCTGGAAAAGTGGCTCCCAGAGGACAGATCTCAAGATGGTGTTTTCAGTGAGCCCCAGACCACCGAGAAAACAATCTGAAGATGAAGCAGAAGTGAAACTGGGACAGCCGGCTTACGCAGTTATTGTCATAGGGATCATCAGGCCTAGCTAAGTTACCCTCCCCCACACTTTATTCTCGGATTTATTTCTGATCTTATCATTGGGCTTTTTTTTTTTTTTTCTTTTATAATTAAACTAGACAGCTCAGTAAAACTGGGCCAGCCAGTGGCGTGGTGGTTAATGTGGCTGGATCTCACCTGGCCAACTGTGCGGTTGGAGTCTGGACCTGGCAACTTGAAAAATATGCCAGGCTTGTACGCGTGTGTGTCCCAAATCCTAAAAGGAGAATGGAAGAGAAGAGATTATAGCCCTCCCCACTGAGGAGTGCTTTCTCACTCCCGCTTCCCCCCATCTCTTTCAGACAAGCACACAGAGAGACCAAATTAAAATCATAAGTAAATAAAATAAAACTAAGGGCTCACCCCCCTGGTGGTATGCGCTATTAAAACACGGTGCGAATTTGCCAAAAGCCAGGAAAGGAAACTAATGAGAAACCGAAACAACTTTTAGAACAGCAGCCCACCTCGCCTTCAGAGCTGTATGCGCCTTGAGCCACATTTCCCAAACCTTCTTCCCTCTCGCCAGCACCGGCCCTCCCCCAAACTATGAGATGCTCAAGGACTGGCATGAGGCATCTGTGCTGGGGGCGTGCCCGCCCGCGGCCCCAGTGATGTCCACCGTGACCAACATCTGCAGCGAGACCTCGGTGCACGACCACGTGGTCTGGTCCCTGTTCAACACGGTCTTCATGAACTACTGCTGCCTGGGCTTCATTGCCTTCGCCTACTCCATGAAGTCTAGGGACAGGAAGATGGTGGGCGACGTGATCGGGGCCCAGACCTACGACTACACCGCCAAGTGCCTGCATATCTTCGCCCTAGTCATCGGCATCATTCTGACCGTCATGTTCATCATGGTTTTCACCATGGCTCCAGTAATAATTACAGATTCAACTGAAGGAAGAGTCTTTCCAAGGCTAATAGTCGATGGCCATAGCCTGCAGCCATGTCCACCACCACTGCTGGCCTGTTCCCAGGGCCTTTGGGCCTGCCCCTTGCTTTTTTCTTTTTCCTTTTTTTGGAGAGGTTTTTGCTATAGGGCGCATACGCTCTCCTGAAAGACAGAGACAGAGAGACAGCAAGAAAGAAATCACCTCCCAGGGGGGATGGCCACGCCACAATCCCTTCTCCTCCATTCTCCTCTCGGGATCTTGGGCACGCACACACAGGCGCCCGGTGTGAGTTTAAGCTACCGGGTCCGGGAATCAAACCACGGTTGACTACAAGGGAGTCCAGCGCAATAGCCATTACGCTAACTGCTGGTCCCGCCCTTGCTTTTATATAGCCGCTTCTCCTCACATGTCTGACTATAATGGGATTCAGTAAAGTGCACGTGTTTGTAAAAAAACAAAACAAAACAAAACAAAAAACCACTGTGCTCCACAGGCTGGAACCACACAAGAAATATGGGTTTGATTCCCAGTCTAACCTAAAGGCAGGCATGGTGGTGTGAGTCTGTAAACCCAGCAACTCAGAAGGCAGAGGCAGAAAAATCCTGACAGTAAGACCATGTCTTGAGGAGGAAAAGCCAAAATGGGTGTGAGGGCTGAATTATCTGAAAGATTTACTAATGAGCGTGCAGCCAGCCTTGTAGGTGAGAATATACCAAAAGTCAGGCCTATGAGACTCTTTCTTTGCAGTCACTTGGAAAATTTCTTTCTTTTTATAAAGAACTATCCATTTAATTTTATTTATTATCACCATTTTTAAAAAATTGACCAGAGAGAGAGAGAGGGAAAGCGAGAAAGCAAGCTACCAGGTCTGGGACTCAAACTACAGTTAGTCATATGAGAGACCAACACCCAACCACCAAGCCAAATGCTGGTCCCTAAAAATTTCTTTTTCTTTTTAAAAATTAAACAAAATTATTATTTATTAGAGATTTTTTTTGGTATAGGGTGCAAGTGCTTGCTAGAAAGATAGAGACAGACAGAAAGTGAGAAATCATCCCCCGCCCAGGGCAGATGGCCACACCGCAATCCCTTCTCCTCCATTCTCCTCTTGGGATTTTGGACACATACACACATGCACCCAGCATGAGTTTCAAGATGCTAGTTCCAGGACTCGAACTGCGGTCAACTACATGGGAGTCCAGTGATGTAACCGTTATACCATCTGCTGTTCCCAAAGTTTATTTCTTTAATGTGAGTGAGAAACAGAGAGAAAGGGAAGAGAGAGAAAGGCCCTTCAACCTCCCACCCTTCCAAGCCAGTCAGGACCATGGGTGAGTGGCCGGCATGTACAGGTCAACCAGGGAGCTAAACCCATGATCTTCCGTGTGGACCCAGCTTCGCACGAGCAGCATATTGCCATTGCACCCCGAGCTGGCTCGTGGGCACTTAAAAACAGAGAACTAGGTTCTAATGTTATTTGTCAGCAAAAGGGGAAAGAGGTTTTCTCACATACCTTTCCAAAGCATTGAACAGCAGTGGGACAGGAAGTGGGTTCACCGTTGGTCATGGTCTCTGCAGAAAACAAGGTCATGGCACTAGTTTTGGTGAGACTTGGAGAGAGCTTCTGTGCTTTGTCAGCTAATTCTCCAACATGATACAATCTGGTGGCCTTGTTTTTCTTTTACAACTTGATTGCAGTGCAATTAACCTATAATAAACCATGTATATTTACAGTGTACAATTGATATGTTTTGATACTTGTAAACAATTATAAAACCAGCACCTTAATCAAGATATCGATCATTTTCTCATCACCCCTAAAGTTTTCCAACACCCCTTTGTAATCCTTCCTCTTTCCCCACCCCATCTTCAGACAACCACTAGTTGTTTTTTTATCCCTATAGGTTAGTTTGTGTTCTCTAGAATTTTATATCAATGGAGTTGTATAGTATATCCTTTTTTGGCCCCAAATTGTTTACTTTGGCATCATGGTTCTGCGATTCACCCTCATGGTTGCAAATATCAATAGTCCGCATATTCCTCTTTGTTGCTGAGTAGTATTCCATTGCACGAATGTACCACAACTGGCTTGTCCTTTCACCTGTTGATGGACATTAGAGCTGCTTCCAGTTTGAGGCTATTCCCACAAAGACTGCATGAACATCTCTGTACAAGCATGTGTGTGGGTATATGTAGTCACTTCTCTTGGTACATACCTGGGAGTGCAATGGTTGGGTCCCATTTGCGGGTTTAAACGTCGGGCTCAAAGGAGGACTTGGAGTTTCTGCCTAGAGTGAGAGAGGAGCATGGGGGACAACCTTCCAGTTCCCATTTCGGACACAGCAGCAGGTCCAAGAGTATCCTTACATATTTGCTTCCTTTGTCAGCGTCTCCTTGAAGAAAGGTTTTCACAGTCAAGAAAAAATATAAATAGAAAAATCCACTTCTTCTAATGATCCCTGCCCCCTTTTATTTTATAGATAAGTAAACCAAGGTTGCCATAAGCCCATGGCCAAGGCTAGTGAGCTAAGCCTGACTTCCCCAGGCCACTGACCATGGCCTCTTCAAGCTCAATATTTCTGCCCCTGGGGAGTTTGCAAGCCATGGGCAGCATTGGGGTGGCACCGGAGAAAACTATATATCCCAAACATGTGGACATTTCTTGTGAAGCCGGATACAGCAGACAATTGAGGCCAAGGGGTCAGGTAGGCATTGGTAGGGGTTTTCCAGAGCTGCAGAGTCATCTTCTAGAGAATCCCACTGGAGCCCTCCTCAGAGGCAGGTCTGAGCCAGACTGGGGGAGGAGAGGGTTGATTGTGTCTGTGTGTCTTTCACTTGCCAGGAAAGGGAGAGAGGAGAGGATTCTTGGATTCATCCTCACTTCACTGCTCCTCCAAGAAAGGCGGAAGCTTTTTCTCTAGACTACGTTCAGAAGCCACCTCTTCCTCCTAAATCGAGCAGCTGTCAAATATACACGTTCCTTGGTCCCACCTCAACGACCATCCCCCATGAGCTTCTGAGGTTGTGAGCTTAAACTCTTCCTGTTTAACAAGATCCCAGGTGATTCTAATGCCTCCAACTAAGGCTTGAGAGGGACCAGTTGCCTCTGTCTTTTGCCAGCATCAGCACTTTTGTAAAAGTCTGAGAAAAACCGCAAAGACTTGACCACCCAGAACCCTCTCAGAATGCTGGGCAGCTTGTTTGTGAATGGAGATGTGGAGAGCAGGTTGCATGAAAAAAACCTGCCACCCATGCCAGTGCTGAAAGACCACCCTGGGCTCGGGCACTCTGGGTCCTGGCATTGCTCAGATGCTGAAAATCGAGCCATGTTCTTACCTAGGAGCTTGCATACCCATCCTGGGACCAACTCCGCTTTTTATTTTTCCACAAATTTAGCGACAAGGACTTCCCAATTCTGAATGGCACATATAGCTTTTCATTGGCATCATCTCATGGCATCTTCCCAGAACCAGGTGCTATTTCTCCACTTAGCAGAAACTGACATGCAGAGAGGCAAAGGTCACCGAGTCAGACAGGATAGGGCCAGGAATTGGGTGATGAGGCTGGGGGTGGGACCAGGTCTGTGGGTTGAAGGCCAGAGATTGAGTTCTTCCACTACTGGGAAAAGGTAGCCTCTGCTTCTCCCCCAAATCATCTTTAGCTCCTAGGACCTTCTTTCCAAGAAATGTGGAAAAACAATGCCGGGACTTTTCACTCTCTTGCAAGGCTCTCTGAGACAAAAACTGGCAGAAACTTTCATTGTTGGAGCTATTCCAAGAAGAATTGGAAGCAGCTAAGCAGCCATCCTATTGCCAATGTAGAGGGTTTGCCGGTTTTAGAACTCAGGATTGAGAGGATTATCTGAATATTTTATCAAATAATTATAACTCAAAAATATTTTTTCCATGAATTGCACGAATCAATTATGGAATGATGAAGGCAGATCAATAGGCCAGTTTGGTTTTTGCCCATGGGCAAGTCTACCATGGGCATGTGAAAAATCAATGATTCAAACAGAATTACATTTTATTTCATTTTGACATATATTTATTCAGTACTTACTATGTGCCAGGTAATGTACTGAAAACACTCCGAGGAATGAAGCATAGCTGTGTCCTGGTCTCTGCTCTCAAGTTTACAGATGAGGCCAGAGAGGAAGGCCAAATCATGTAGAGCCCCACAGGCTCAGACTTGAACTTGGGAGCAATGGGAGGCCACGGAAAGGTCTGTGCAGGAAAAAGCCTGGTCACATGTCAACACTGCTGAGCATGACCTAGAGGCAGGGGAATAGTGACAGTGAGGTCTCTGGAGCTGCCCCTGGTGAACAAGACCCAACGAGGTCACATGTGAAAGGGCAATGGTGCAAGCACCCTGTGTGAAAGCCAAGATGTTGGAACAATTCATTCTAATTGTAGGATTCAGAGATGTCTTCTTGGAGGAGGTGACATTTAGGCTGGGCCTTGAAGAGTCAGGTGGTTTGGAAGAGCAGAGAGGAAAAAGGCTCAGAGGCCTGGAAATAGAAGGCAAACCTTGGGAAATAAGTCATCCAGTACGTGGCCTGCAGCAAGCCAATCTGAAACCTTCCAGGGAAGTCATGACTGGATAGGAGGACAAGCAGGTTAGGACAGGACAGCACAGCATGTCAAATAGTACGCTGCAGCCCTGTGTGGGGACAGGTGGACTTGAAGTTGAACCTTATTTGTGCCCTTATCAGGGACTGGTGCATGGCCAGCCACCCAAGTAACCCAGTGTAAGAGTTCCCTGTGGGGATTCCAGAACACTGATCCTTACTCCTTTCTACCCCTAGGCCCTTACTCAGATCATCTCTGAGGAGGCAGAACACTAAGGCCACAGAGCTGCATGTTTTACCCACTCCCGTTACTTTTATTCAGGAAGATCAGGCTATAGGATGCAGGGCCAGACAATGAATATGTAGCAGATGAATTAATGAATGAGTGGATGACTACATAATTATTTGGTTGTCAGGAACGTCATGATGGATTTTTGCACAAAAATGACGTTCCCAAGAACTTAATAAAATCTTCAAAGGAAAGCTAAAAAAGATAACGTGTGTGTGTATGTGTGTGTGTGTGTGTGTGTGTGTGTGTGTGAAGGAAGATGGTGCAATGTCGCCCTGTGCTTTGGAGTAATGGGGCCAAGAGAGCTTCTGAGGAATGGAGGATGTGCTCAGACGACTGAGCAGAAACCTCAGAGTTATCACCCACAGCTCCTGCCCTATCACCACTTTGACCATCATACTTCCCAATCCCAAATCTCCACACGCAGGGCCAAGGCCTGGATTCCCGGACATAACGGGGACACACCTCGTGGTTCAGGTACTAACTGAGCCACTTCTCTCTCATGTAGCAGCGAAGGGCTCAGTGGAAAGCTTCTCATACTTCTCCAGCCATTGCCCCTGTTTTCCTCTAAGGTCCACTTCCCTGAGACACCGAATCCATGGGTGAAACTTCCAGTGAAAGCTTCGGCTCACCCAAGCCTTGCCAGATCCTTCCCCATCACCCTAATCTCCTCTGTCGCTCTTGTAGCTCAGACCTGAGCACAGGCTGAGGACAGAGGGCAATGCCGCCTCCTCTCATGGAGTCCTCCCCAGTAGCTCGCTCATACATCTGAACTGTGGAGGTAGCGCAGTGCGGCTGTTCCTGTTCAAGGAAGGTCCAAAGGGGGAACCCCAGGCCCTGTCCTCATCCTCTTGTAGCCTTTTCTGCAAACAAGACCAGTAATTACATCACAGGATTATGAGGACCAAACGGCAGCATGCTGTAAGAGAAGTGGTTGCCAATTCGGTCCATGAACAGGTGTGAGCAAATTTTTTTCTTTTTCCTTTCCTCTGTTAGTTCAACTCTGACTCTTGGTTTCTGCTCTAGCTACAACAAACTA